CCTAGACGGATTCATCACCTCAATCCAAATTTGATCGTCGATCAAATCCCAACGCTTGTCCGGATGGCAAGCCGCCTCAGTCCTAAAACGCCGATCGTATTCCAGCCAAGCGTTGGGCGGGCCACTAACATATGCCTTGTTAATAATATTCTGATACTGCCACAAGGCCGTAGCCCTTTCCGGGGCAGCATCAGAAAGCAGGTTCGCATACATAGTAAAACAAGGGAGCCAATTTTCCCAATTCTGCTCCACCTTGCGTTTCTTTATCTTCTCCTTACTATCCTCATCTAATTCCTCCTTCTCTTTCTTATCCATATCCCTAAAGTATAAAGAAAAAATATCAACGTATTCATTCCTCAAAACCTTTTCCAATGTCTTGGACGCCAAATGGGAACCTAAACCTGAAAGCCTAACCGTAGGCGTCGCCTGAGGTGGCCACTTTGCTGTACCCCAAAATTTGCTTGCCTCCCCAGTGCGATCCGATTCCAAGGTGACCGCCGCAGGTTTGTCCGACTGAGCAGCGGCATCGTCCTTCCTAACTACTACGCCTGGTTCTGCCCCCCCCCCCGCGGGCTGAACCCCGACTGCAGCATAAGACTGGACCCCCACGACCGGCTGCGCCCGGCCCTGGTCCCAGGGCCATGTGAGTGAGGTGGAAGTGTTGGATGATGTGAGTGTGGTGGAATTACCTGCTGGGACAGCCGTCACCAACTGCTCACTCACTGCTACCTCAACGGCAGCAACGGAGGACCCCACTGACTGAGTGGACCCGGCCGCAGCACTGGCCGCGGAGGCCAATGCCGCGGGCTGACTGGGTCCGGCCACAGCAGCCGCCGAGGAGCCAGACGCAGCCTGCACCGGTGGAAGGACTTCTGGGCTGGGAACAGTAGAGCCTTCCGCAACTCCTGGAACAGCCGGATGTTCAGGGAGCCGAACCGCCCTTTCCGCCCCCGCAGCTGAGGTCGACTCTATAATAGAAACCCGGGACAAAAGAGACTTAAACAACTGTTTTTTACTTGCCCTGCGAGTAGAACCTGCACCAGCCCTACCCAAACCAATCCCCCTATTGTGCTCTATCTGGTTGACGCGTTGCAGGAGGGCCTCCAAATCCTCCATAGACACCCCCTCTTCGTCCGACGACGAGCCATCCTGCCGCAAAGGTCGCTTGTAACCTGACTTTTCCATAGGGCCCTTCCCTTTAGGGCCCCCCTTGTTCTTCTTAGATGGCATCCTACAACAAAGAAAGGGAAAAAAATGCCTGTGAGAAAGGGGGGGAATGCTCACAAGAACCAGGTCTACACAACGCACGAAAGCCTTCTTGGCAACCTCCAACACCACCACACCACCGGAGCATAGAATCAAAGAGATGGAAAAGACAAACAGTGCCACTACTATCATCCTGATGCAAGGCCTCTCCCCCAACTGAACGGCATAGGGGCATATAATAGAAGTTGATAAAGTTCAACACAACTACCACCCCCAAACTCAAGGTCACTGCTCAGCCAACCCTTCTAGTGTTTTCTGTTGGTCATGGGAGGCCTGTGTGGCAAATTTGGTTCAATTCCATCGTTGGTGAAGTTCAGCATGGTCTCAGATTGTAGGTGAACTATAAATCCCCGCAACTACAACTCTCAATTAACGACTCATAATTGGGTTTGGTTTTTTTTGTTTTTTTGAGTGGTGCCCACTCCTAATGTTGTGCGACGATTTGCCGCCACATTTAGTGAATGTGATTTCATCCATTGGCTCGTTTGCTGTCAAGGTACTCATTATGCATAGAGCATGGCTGGGATCACTGGATTGTTGTAGGTTTACCAGTAAGAAGAGACCTCCAAGGGTCATCCAGACCAGCCCCTTCCGTGCCTCTGACAAATGGCAAAAGCACAATGGCAAAAGCAAAATCGAACCACTCCCGAGAGATGGCCGTTCAATCTCTGAATAATAATAATAATAATAATAATACTAATAATATCAGTCCAGCCCCTATTGGGAAATGGGCGAAGCACAATCTAACCACTCCTGACCGATGGCCAGCCTCCGTTTAAATACTAATAATAATAATAATAATAATGGACAAAATGGGGTGGGGGGTGCAACGTTACCCCCTGCAACCCTCTATCCCAAAAACTGACGAGGGAAAGGGCAATCCTCCGAACAAACTGCGTCACTGACGCAGGCAAAATGGCGGCCGCAGTTATTGAAGAAAAAAACGGCCCTAAGATGGCGACCGTTCCCGCCAAAAGCACCTAGATGCGCCATATCCCCCTTTAAAATGGCGGCCGTAGAAAAAACTCGCGCTGCGCGACCACGCGCCGCACGCCGCCCAGCCCTCGGCCTGCACCATGGCGCCAGGCGGCAAGCGCCGCGCGCCGCTATAGTCGTGGCCTATCTCTACCACGCCCCATACTACAGGGCAAAACGAAAGCATGGCGGCAGCGGCGACCTCCGAGCACAGCGGCGGCCTGCGAGCGAGCCGCACATTGCCCGGCTCGCGCCTTTGCCGCCGACGAGCCGCTCGCCGCGTGGCTCTCAACTTTGCCGCAAAAAAGGCCAGCCGCGGGGGGAACGGCTGTCACCGATCCCGCGCCCCGCACCAGCCAAGGCTCCTCGTCGCCGCCTCCAGAGGGGAAGGAGCAGCAGCCCCCTCCTCCCTTCCTTGCTCTGAGACCGACCTGGAGCAAGCCCGGTGAGCGTCCTGTCTTGCCGAAAGGTCTGACAAGACTGAAGGACGGAGGCTGGCTGACGTGGTTAGCCAGCCCCGCCCTTCTTCTCGGAGGTTCTAACAGGAACCTCCCATTCTCTCTCTTCAGGGGGTGGGGCAAATCGCTCTCCCCCCCAACTTGTTGGAGTGGAGAGTCCCCTGGTGTGCCTTAGAATCACAATGCATGTGGTTTCTTCAAAACAGTTCAAAACTTAGTTGCAAATAACTCTCCTCTCTCTCTCCAGAAACTACTGACAGGAATTCCTCTCTGCCTAGTATTCCTAAACTCCACACAGATAATCCTTTCCTTTTTGGATCTGTCTCTTCGCTCCTCCACCAGCTATCTTTCCCAATAGCTTTAAAGTCTTCTCATTAACTAACTCTGCTGACTAACTGACCAACTTTAGGCTTCCCTAACTCTTCTCTTCTTCACACCAAACCCTAACTGTTTCTTCTTTGACACCCAGACTCAATCTGAGCTGTCAGGTTTTAAAATGTCTCCTTAAAGACATTTCTTTTCTTTTCTCAAGTTAAGCTCCTCCCACTCTCTCCCAGCCAATCACAGACTCTCCTCATTTCCCTCCAAGCTGCTCCTAAGCACGCCCCTCCAGGAAATGAGATTCTAAGCTGGATGACCCCAGGCACCCTTCTAAAATGGCTGCTGAACTTCCTAAGCCTGCTTTTCTGAGCTTTTCCTAGCCTAACAGGTAGGGAAATCATCACAGTATACTTTGGGAAATAGGAATGAGAGCTAAATGAATTTAAAAAACTGCTCAATTAGATAATGTAGAAATATAGAGCCAGGAAGAGGACCCCAAAGTATATTTGAGCATTTTGGGAAAAGAGTTAAAATATATTTATCTGATCCTACCTGCTCACTTGTGTGAGGTTATTTCAGGGCTTTACAGTAAACCAAGAGGTTGGTTTTGGATGCTGTGTAGAAGCTAAGGGAATACCAACCCACAAAGGGAATACCAACCCACACTGCACACAGTAAAAGCACATCCACATGTTCAAGGAACACCTATGCATGTGGATGTCCCTCTCTGAACGTGTAGAAAGTTTTCCCAAGACTTGTTCTCCTGCTGGACCTTGCGGAAAGCTCATAGCCAGCTTCCGATTACTGCTCCCAGGGCTTCTACAAGAAAGTTTGTGAGCTTCAGCAATGGAACAGAAGAAGAGAAGAAGAAGAACTTTATTTTTCTACCCCGCCTCCATCTCCCTGAAGGGATTCAGGGCAGCTTACATGGGGCCAAGCCCAAAGCAAAATACAATTAAAAGCAGAGACATAACAAATTAAAACAGCATAAAACAGCGTAACAATAATAAAGAGCATCAAAAGCAACAGCAGACTAATTTTGGAGGGGAGGGAGAGGACCACTATGCGAGCAGTTTAAAGGATAGTTCAATAAGGTGGACAGAAAAGTATAATAGCATAGGAAATAGCATGGAAACAGAGCAATTTAACAGGATCCATTCAACTTAAACTTAAGGAAGATATATTTAGTAATGTAATATAGGAACTTCAGAATCAGGCCATGATTCAGGTCATGATATAAGCCATTTATCATAGGAGTCATCAGTTGAAAGCACAATGAAACATCCACATCTTTAATTCCTTACGGAATGTGGGTAGGGAGGGGGACTAACAGTGAGACTAACTCCATGGATCTACTGTGTTCCTCCGGGTTCTGTTCTGCCTGAGATTTGTATTTGTAATCCTGTTGGGAGGCATACAAGTGCACAAAACAATTTCCTAAAACTTCAGCCAGTGCCTTGAGACACCGGCTTAAGAACCACCAACTACTTCATAGGTGTTGGATTTCTATTCAGTATCCAATGGAAAATCTGTGGACCACTAAGACTTAGCAAGAGCTTTTCAAACCACTCTTCCTGTATAAGGAATCCCTTCAGTGATTATCTTGGGCCCCTTCCACACAGCTGAATAAAACCTCACATTTTTTTTGCTTTGAATTGGAATATATGCCAGTGTGGACTCAGATAACCCAGTTCAAAGCAGATATTGTGGGATATGGCTGTGTGGAAGGGACCTTAAAGAGGGAATATAGAGCAGTGGCCTACATTTTCTAATTAGTATAGACCACTGAAACAAGTGGATTTACCTAATTGTTGAATCACCATTCAATAATTAATTCAATGTGTGTTTTCTAGTTAGGTCTAGCTTGTGGTCTCCTTTAGAGCCCTGTTTAGAGCAAAAACAAAGTAATAAACAGAATTAGGAACCTCCATACTGTCTGAGGCAGTGAAATCAACTTTTTCATTTTAAGAAAGTAAGAAGTTTCATTGTTAAGCAATGATAAAAATGAAGGGATTAATACATAAAATACAGTACTATAAAAAGTTTTGCAATTTATGTGTTTGTTTGTTTGATTGATTGATTGATTGATGGATGGATGGATAGATAGATTGATGGGGTACATGAAGACATTTGGTACAAAATTCAGATTTCATAAGGTGAGCTATCATACAATCTTAACCGTTCCATAGGAATAATGTTGTTGAAAATGTCCCATATGAATGACGAAAAAATTATGTGGCAAGGAGGCAATAAAAATGGAAGGAAAGTGGTAAAATGCATTGTACTTCTACAGTCCTTTAAGACAAAAAACACACAGGGTGGAGTTGGGGTCGCATGCTTTTTACCTGTAGCTTGTTATGACATAAGAAGATACATCCCATTTCTCGGAAAATGTGGGGCCTATCTGCACACTGCAAACCTCTAAATCTTTCTCTTCCTCTGCCCATGTCAAGTGATGGTTCTCTTTATTATGCTACTCCTATTTTGCTCACACATACCCATAAGAGAGAGAAAGAGAGAGAGAGAGAGAGAGCACGTTCCAAATCTTTATGAAGCTAGTCACAGGCAGGGAAGAGCGATGCATCTTCTAAAACAATCTGAAGGATGTCATGTTCTCATCGCTCTGGAGCTGTGGACCACTGATCACATGATGGATTATATGCCAGTTTCACAACAGGGTAGAAAATGTTAGCCTATTAGGTCTGTACTCTCTGTCTCTAAATAAAGGATTTTATTCTCTCTGTGGTGTTGTTAGCATCACACAACTAGATGGTTTGATCTGTGCTACATCAGACAACCTGGTGGGATAACACATAAACACATACATAATTAAAATGATTACAGGGCAACATTATTAAAGGCCAATGTACATAGTGATTTTTATTGTGAAATGTGTAACCTGGGCTTTTTTGATAAATTGATTTCATATATATGGGTAGGATGGGGCCACTTCTTGTAAAGGTGGAATACAATCCCATATGAATTTGGCTGAGTTCCCATCGTCATTCACTTTAGGCAAGGAATACACAATTTTTACTGTGTAAGAAACTCAACGCATTCATCTCTTAATTCAGCTGTGTTCACATTAGCCTTCAAATTCTTCTGTAGGATCATAGAATCAAAGAATCAAAGAGTTGGAAGAGACCTCATGGGCCATCCAGTCCAACCCCATTCTGCCAAGAAGCAGGAATATTGCATTCAAATCACCCCTGACAGATGGCCATCCAGCTTCTGCTTAAAAGCTTCCAAAGAAGGAGCCTCCACCACACTCCGGGGCAGAGAGTTCCACTGCTGAACGGCTCTCACAGTCAGGAAGTTCTTCCTAATGTTCAGATGGAATCTCCTCTCTTGTAGTTTGAAGCCATTATTCCGCGTCCTAGTCTGCAAGGAAGCAGAAAACAAGCTTGCTCCCTCCTCTCTGTGGCTTCCTCTCACACATTTATACATGGCTATCATATCTCCTCTCAGCCTTCTCTTCTTCAGGGAACTGGGCTAAACATGCCCAGTTCCCTAAGCCGCTCCTCGTAGGGCTTGTTCTCCAGACCCTTGATCATTTTAGTCGCCCTCCTCTGGACACATTCCAGCTTGTCAATATCTCTCTTGAATTGTGGTGCCCAGAATTGGACACAATATTCCAGGTGTGGTCTAATCAAAGCGAAATAGAGGGGTAGCATTACTTCCTTAGATCTAGACACTATGCTCCTATTGATGCAGGCCAAAATACCATTAGCTTTTTTTGCCGCCACATCACATTGTTGGCTCATGTTTAACTTGTTGTCCACGAGGACTCCAAGATCTTTTTCACACGTACTGCTCTCGAGCCAGGCGTCCCCCATTTTGTATCTTTGCATTTCGTTTTTTCTGAATGAACCACAAGGCTTGGAAATGATTGACTCAGTCTTGCTAAATAATTTGCTTCCTCCCACCCACTACCACCACCGCCACCACCACGAGTTTGCATCATTCTCTGCCCAGAGATCTTCTAGGAACTTGTTGGATCTACCCTCCTTTTAGCTTGTATACATCCAGGTTTTTTTTATTCTTGGTTTAAACAACCAGTGTGTGACCTCACACAATTCACATCCAAAAACATTTTTGTTTTCTGTCTCTTCTCTTGAGACATAAAAAAGAATATTTAAATCAAACCTATGAATAACCAAATCCACAAAAGTCAAACCCACAAATGTTGAGGGTCTACTGTACATTTGCCAAAATGGTGGATACTAAATGAATTTTCTTATAGTGTTGAGGTTTATTGGTTTCAGTATTAACAATTCTTTCAAGAAATAGTGTTAATGAGACATTTACTATAGGATCTACATTTTATGTTATATCAAACTTTGAGAAGGAGGAAGAAAAGAGGTAAGTTAAAATAATTATTGTTCACAATGCTTCCCCCAACCTCTAGTTTGGATTATTAAATAATTAGGCTAAAGTGGAGTTCCTGAAACACCCCCAAGGCCATGTGAATCAGTGAGCAATATTCTTGCTAAGTTTGACAACTGCCTGGGAAGCTAAAGTATCTCTTGAAGCAAAGACAAGATGCTTTAAGGTTAATTGAACCAATAATCAAGGTTTGTGTCTGTAATTCCTAGGCGATGCAGTCAATTACTAAAATAAATCTGACAGCAGGGAGATGATAATTGTGTGCAATTACTCCGTAAAGACTCAATTATGTCAACAATTAATGGGTATTTTCCATTGTGGTGAAATCTATCAATTTTTAGGGCTTATTATCTTGATTATAAGAAGAAAGCCATTCAGCTTTAACTTGTCAAGCTGTCGGATATTCAGAAATAAGCTGGAGAAAAACAACATGAACCAACCTTAGATGAAAGTTCAGTACCCTAGTAGAGTACATATATCAGAGCCATGAGAACAGCCAAAACCTCAGGCAACACTTCTGTACTTTCTTGTCTGGGCCTCTGGTGACTTAAGTCAGAATTACATCTGAGCAGATATGCATAGAATGCCATTGTGTACACAGACTGTGTATACAACTGCAGAATATTTCCTTGACCTATTCCAAACTGACTTCAGAGCAAGATATAGAGTTGAGACTGCCATGGTTGCCTTAGCTGATGATCTTCATTTTAGCACTGAAAATGGGGGGGGGGGGGTCCTTGCTGGTGCTTCTGAATCTCTCAGTGGTGTTTAATACCATTGATCATGATATCCTTCTGGAACACCCGAAGAGTTTGGGAAGCTGAAACACCAGCGCTTGGGGATTTCTGGCCTTCAAAAAAGGAGCTGTTATGTGGCATCCTACAAGGGGCCATTCTATGCTTTTTAACATTTATATGAAACCACTGGGAGAGATCATCCAGAGGCATGGGGTGGGATGCTATCAGTATTCTGATGACACCCAATTATATGTCCATCCACCAAGAAGATGCATACACAGCCGTGATTTTCTCTGTACAGTCAGAATCCTGTTGGGCTGTAACAAATATGTAATCAATGTAATTGGCAAATACATTTAATAAATAAATTTGTAAATGTATTTGTAATTTGTAAATGTATTACTAATTGCTATGCATCCATTATCCCTATGCAGCCCTTGGTTTAGGGACTATGTGTCATGATAGTCATCTATACCCTATTTACTGAAAAAGAGTTGCTGGGGTTAATGAGGGTTTATTCCCCTGCCAATTAAGAAGCAACTATGTACTTGATATGAACATTAGGGGAATTTTCTGCAAGAGACATTCTCCTCTCTGTTGAACTGGAGATCACTCATAGAAAAGGTGGGAACAATATAGAAATGAGCCCTGTCACATATTCTTCTTGTTTTAGGGATCACTTGTGTGAGGATGGATTATGAGCATTGGGCAGCTGTTTCTTGGTTGAAAGAGGAACAGATCCCTATTGACCCCAGTGCCAGCTTACAAGTATATGGAGGTTGTGGCCTGGTTGGAAACTACTACACACACCATATTTGTGGTGGTACATAGTACAAAATGGCCATAGAGGATTCCCGTTGTATGTCACTAACAGAACACCAGGGAAAGTCTTATTATCATGAATCAAGATGAGCCCAAGAGTATAGGCGAGATCAAAATAAGAACAGTAAAAATGATGACAGAGGTTTTCAATTCCATATCTATAGGCTGACTGTGATGGTCTCTGGAGAGTGGTGAGATGTGCAGATAAAAAAGTGCTGGGATGCTTCCCACATCCTCTTTATGATATGCAACAGAATGTACTAAAAACTGATACCTGGACTTTTTATGCCTAACTTTCATTTTACAAGAAAGTAGACCATGACTAATGAATCCTTTCCCTCCTGTTGTAGATAGATAGATACTATTTTAATTGATATGCATATCTTTTTTTACAGTTCTATAATATTGTGTTTTACTGATATTGTAATTGTCTGAATCTCGCATTGAAATATTGCCATAGTTTGTAAGCCACCCTGAGTCCCCCCTTGGGGGTGAGAAGGGCGGGGTATAAGTGCCGCAAATAAATAAGTAAATAAATAAGTAAGTAAGTAAGTAAGTAAGTAAATAAATAAATAAATAAATTTACAGAATCCGCATATTGGCTACTTCAAACAATTACAAAAGCCATAACAATACAGTTGTGAATGCTACAATACAGTTAATAAATCATTGCCCTGCCATGTTGTGTCAAGTTTACATTAATCTATAATAATAATAATAATAATAATAATAATAATAATAGTCATCCAGTAAACTAAACACTTTCATCTCTTTCCACCTCATTGGTCCTTAAGTTGACAACCTTGGATGCAAAATAGGTAACACACAATGGTAAGAACTGTTCAAAAATAATATGAAAAATGATTATTGCAAAGCAGTTTATCATGCAACTAAAAAAAGGACTCAGATAATGCTCCCTCCAGTTCAAATATAAACGGCATTCAAGTAGACAATGTTCAAAGTCCTGTTATTAGGGCCATATATACAGCTTATCTGTGAGTTGGGTGCCCTGAAATCCCCCCGGGGGTTCATTGTGTGCCCATCATCTTAAACTAGAACTAAGAAAAAGCGACACATTGATTTCTTCTCATCCGAAGAAACAGATGTTTACTTGTATTGTAACTTGGCTCTAACTAGCCATTTTAAAGCCCTGGAGGAGGAAAGAGCAGGAATGCTATTCTAAAGAATGAACCTAGGTACACCCATGCTCCATAATTTAGTCACTGTTTACAGTAGTGAAAAAAATATATAAACATCCTTGTCTTACAATGGGCAATCGCTCTACTTTGCATTGGTTTTTTTTTTATGGGACATGGAAGCTGTCCCCAAGGTTTCCTTTTGGTCAGAACATGAATTTACCTTTCTGTATGTGCAGACTAAAAATACCATCTGGGATGCGAAGAATCTAGGGCACAAAGTACTAGGGAGCTATTAATCTGGAAACTATGGATGATATTCTGTTGGTGACTTATGTACACATATGCACATGAGTCCTGTTTTGGACAAGGCATAGAAAGTTATTCTCTCTTCCTTGCACACTGTTTTAAAACCTCCCAGTAACTAGCAGTGGGGAGGTAATCGAGGAAAGAAACAATTTAAACCATAAAGATTCAATTTTTCTGAGTTCCCAGGGGAGGGTCAAAGTTAGATATACTTCTGTTCAGTGTGCATCTCATTTCTTCTTACCCTGAATTGCCTCTGTTAGTCCTGCTCACCCACAGCTACATACCAGTGCTGACATTAGGATTGAGGCCTGTGGGGATCTTCTGGGATATCAGAACTTCTGCAATCGTTGAGTGTCTGACTAGGGGATGAGAGTGGGGAGAGTTGCAAGATCCTTCCTCCTCCTCTCCAAGCACAAAATACTCATGTCAGACATTTGGATATGTGCAAAGTTGAGAGGGGGGTTGGGTACCGTACAGAAAGGAAGGGACCACCAACTTCCATGGCACCTGAAAAAGTGCATCCACATGTCTATGGTATATTTATGTGCGCTGATGTTTTTATCTGAATGTGCCATAAGGATTTTTTTGTGTGACTGGAATGCTCCTGACACAGAAATTATACTGCTATTTCATTTATCCAAAGTAAAATAATTAATGTACTACTTGGATGGAGTGATTCTGTTATGACACATACTATTTGGATGATGCGAAGAATGTGGCAGAGTAAGCTCGAAAAACACAGCTGCTGAAAGGCTGGAAATTTGCAGCATCTGGAAGAATTGTGGTATGGGGGTTTCGGCCCTAGTATGTTCTCAATAGTGTCATTAAGAATACAGCTGGAGTTCAGAAAACAAAAGAATTGAAAACAAGAGAACTGTAAAACATGATGCTGTTTGGAAGCCTTATAATTCTTTCCTTTATTGTATGTTTACATGGTGCCTTTGTGTTGACATTTGTGAAATGCCTTGGGGAGCTTTTTGGTTGGAAGATGACACAGAATTAAACCAGGTCTTCAATTTCCATTTCGGGGGGGGGGGGGCAGAGAGAGATATGTTGAGGACAATTTTGAATGATGCCAAGGGGAGTTCATTCACCATTAATTCTAACTGAACTATTTAGCCAGCTGCATCTTAATGTAAAAATAATTCAAGTAATTTCCATAAAAATTCAAAATTTTACTGGAGTAGCAGAGCATGTGGGGAGGGAAAGGAATGTATTCAGCTACAGTAAAATATGATATCCTGACTCTGTATTTCCACTGAGCTTTGCCAATAATTTTTCTTAGGCACAGGCAGGCCATGCAGCTCCTAGAATGTCCTGGTAGGAAAGGGGCAGGGAAATGGCCCCCAACATCACCAAAATTGCTCACCACAATTGAAAGTTTGCCCTCTCGTAACTACAGCTGTCCAGATTAAAGCAGGTCAGTAATTTGAAAAGAGTATTTAATATATTTAAATTATTTTAAGGCAACCAAAATCTTTGGCATCTTTCCTTTATTCTACAATACTCCTCCACTCTCCACACACATAAACTGCCCTTATTACCTCTCTGTCTTCTTCCAACATTGATAAAGAACATCTTTGTAATTTATTTATTTATTTATTTATTTACAGTTCTTATATTCCACCCTTCTCACCCCGCAGGGGACTCAGGGC